GGGTCTGAGGGTGGGCACCTGGGTGTGCCAGGCATGGAGTCAGGCACCACGCTTTGCCATCGCAGCTGAAGGATGCTGGACAAACTCCTTACACTTCTGAAATGTCCATTTCTTTATTACTAAAGACAGGCTTAATAATACTCACCTACATAAGGTCAGTGTGCGGGTGAGACAAGGTGAGGAGAGTATAATGCCCAGTGCTGCTCAGCCTGCTGTCTTTTTCATGCCCATGACGCACAGTCTCGGGCCAGTGAGCAGAGATTTGAGAAGCCAGAGGACTGGTGACCACATGGGCACCAGCTTTCCTGCAGGTACATGGGATCCAGGGACACAGGGACCCCACAGCTGCTGGTAAAGACCTGCTAATACGCTGCCTGCCTTGCACGCTGTGGCCAGAGCTATGCTAGCCAGGAATGGCCTGGCTGAGGCAGCTGAGGGAGGCAGGGCTGGCAAAGAGCTATGCCAATGTGGCCCTTGCTATTGCCATAGGAAGCTGCCAGGTGCGTGTCATCTGAAGCAGGAGCCTGTGAGTATGGGCCGGTGGCCACAGAAACTTCGGGGGACTCTCCCAATGATTGTCAACTCTTCTTAACACAAGATAACTCCACATCAGCTTTTCATGTAATTCATTAATTTTAAAACGTAATTTAAGATCACAGCTGTTTCACGTTTCTCTTATAAGAATTTAATTGGTATGCAATAGCACAGTTAATTAAATACAAATCAATAGTTTAAAACAACTAATTGATTCTTAATATGAACAGGGAGGAAAACTTAGTTCTGATATAATTAACTCCTATTAAATAAGCAATGAAATAGCAATTACGTCTTTACAACAATGTAAAGTTTATGGGTCCTTTAATAAACTTACAACCAGCGAGCAATGAGAGTCAAAAATTATGAAACAGGTATTATTGGGCTATTAAACATTTACCACTCGCCCTAAAGGGCCAGGGCTGTGTACCAGTGCCCGTCGGGATTGCTTAACCTGGGCTCCACCCCTCTCAGGGTCTGTGCTATAGAGGTTCATCCGAAAACTGGTCTTCCCATGATGCGTGGGCAGCATCATTGCCCGGGATGTGAGTACTTAGGCTGCAAACAGGACTAGGCAGAACCAGCACCGTTTAGCAGAAGGAAGGTCAGAACTTGGCAAACATGAGACCAGCATCCTTGGGTGAGGCATCGCTGGACGACCGCCTGGGAGCGAGGGAAGGACACCCAGCGAAGGCCAAACCCGTCGTGATCCGTGGCATTGGCAGCCCCAGGATTCCAGGCCTCCCCTGAGAACTGAGCCAGAAATCAAACCTGGATCCGGGCCTGAGCACGCCTCCCCACCAGTGCTTCGGCCTTGGATGGTCACGTTACTTCTCCGCGCCTCCGATTCTGAGACCAAAAGGAGGGAACTCATTTCTGCCTTGCCTGTCGCAGAGCTATTGTGAGTGTCTAATGAGAGAGTGACTATGACAGCGTCAGGAGAAAATAAGTCATTTCACGAAAGTTGAAGTAATACCACAGTATCGCCGTTATTACTAATAAGAACTTTAAAACCCTGAGGCTAGGAGAAAAGGCCCATCCGCACCCTCTGAAACTAAAGGAAAAGCCGTTCCATTCTCAAAGCTTTTTATTCCCCTCAGGAGGAAAGTCTCGCGTCTCCTCGACTCCTGTTCCGATGAATTACAATCTTCATTCGTTTCACCGCCCTCTCTCCCTCGCCCAATCCACTGGGCCACATATAAGCCCCCTGATTCCATTCCAACCTGGGCAGAAAACTGTTCGCTGCCCAAGATTTTCACGCTGGCCCTTTCATTAAATCAGCAGGACTGTGCCTGGGACCAGGGGCTCAGAAGTAATTTTTGCTTTTGTTTGTATGTGTGTGTATGTTTTTTTTAAAGGCACAGCGCAGACCTTCTGTCACTCACAGCCTAGAAGCCAGGAGGCCCTGGGATGAAACCTTTCCGTCTCCCTTAGAAACATACTCTTTCCTGATAAATATTTTTTTTAAGTTTTCTTTTCTTTTTTTTAATATATTTTATTCATTTTTTACAGAGAGGGAGAGAGATAGAGAGTTAGAAAGATCGATGAGAGAGAAATATTGATCAGCTGCCTCCTGCACATCTCCTACTGGGGACGTGCCCGCAACCCAGGTACATGCCCTTGACCGGAATCGAACCTGGGACCCTTCAGTCCGCAGGCTGACGCTCTATCCACTGAGCCAGACCGGTTTCGGCCTGATAAATATTTTCTTGCTCGGCAGTATTTCCCAAACCTTTGTTCTCCTCACACAGCGCCCTCCACACCCCCGTCTGCAGGTGGCCCTGCACTTCTTCGCTGTGACTTTTATTTTAAGGCGGGACAACTTGCTTCACGTGAATCATTTGCCACCTTCGGTGTCTCTGATGATTTATTACTCATACTAGTAAGTGTTCGGCCGAAGTCCACAGCCCCCACGTCCACGTGGAGAGGACTCCAACACCTTGCCGCTCTAAAAGGGGCATCTGTGCCCGGCCAGTGTGGCTCAGTGGTTGAGCATCAACCTATGAACCAGGAGGTCACAGTAGTTCACTTCCCAGTCAGGGCACATGCCCCGGTTGTGGGCTCGATCCCCAGTAGGGAGCGTGCAGGAGGCAGCCGATCAATGATTCTCTCTCATCACTGATGTTGCTATCTCTCTCTCTCTCCCTCTCCCTACCTCTCTGAAATCAATACAAATAATAAGTAAATAAATAAATAAAATGGGCGCCTGTGATCTGGCTCCACCCTCGGTCCCAGTGCGGTGTGACAGGGGAGGTGGCAGGCTGGAGGCTGGCCTAGCTCACAAAGTGCAGATCCCTGTGCTTCCTGTCACATCTGGGCATCTCTCCCTTCGTAGCCTGGTTAGTCAGGCCTGGCGGAGTTTCCCTGAATCAAAGCAGTTAGTTCCTGCTTCCCGGGTTCTCACCTGGGCTCCCGATTCGCGCCCCCTGCCCCATTCCAGCCCTGCTGGCGCCTCCTCCCTTGGACCCAGTGGCCTCTAGTGTTCCTCTGGCAAGCCTCCCGGAAGCAATCCCAAATGGATGGCTAGCTACTTCCCACTTCCCTAAGCCTCCAACCTGCTTGCTTTTGCAAAGACTCAGTGGCTGCTCCCCACTTCTCAATAAAGACGAGGCCAGAGAGCCCGCTCCCTTAACAAATTCCTGCAGTGTGCTTATCAGCGCCTTGTAATGTAGCTGCCTCCATAATTAAGACTAACCCACACGTGTCAAATTAAATGAGCCAGATACATTGAGAAATTGCCTCGCCCTCCATTTCTTTTCTTCATCAAGTGGTGGTGGTGGTGGTGGTGGGGTGTGTGTGTGTGTGTGTGTGTGTGTGTTTTACTTTTTTTCCTGGTCATTTGCAAAACTCAAACTTGGTCAGTGAGGCTCTTACTTCAAACAACTGGACATGCAACCACTCCCGGGGCAGCCTACTATGTTGAGATAGATTGAGCTGGGGTGGCAGCGACAGCCTACAGCAAGCATGTCAAACTCGTTTATTTGGCCCGTGTTAGCCTCTGAGTTTGACATACTTGGCCCACAGGGATCATCTGGATTCCACAGGTTGTCCCACACTCTAAATTTTTAGGAAAATTACACCCGCTCCATTTCCCTGGGAACTTAGGGGACTTTCCAGGAAGACCTCCAAGAAATGGACCTAAATCCATCAGCACCTCTGCCCCCAGGCCTCAGTGCTCCTGCCCCCAGTCGCCTCCTGGACTCAGTGCAGGAACTCAGACTCCCTCCCTCATTAGCAGCCGCTGCTGATGTGCTGGAGGTGGACATAAGAAGTCACTGGCAATGAGATTAAGATTTGTAGCAATTGTACGGCTCTGATGCTGAACAATCGCATTGCACTTGTAATGGACGGGCCAGCTCGGCCTGTCGTCAGCGTGCTGCGGTTTCAATACCGCTCGGGCAAGAGGCTATTTATTGTTCAGGGGGGCTCAGCGCCTCCTCACAGCTTGTACTTCCGCCCGACCCCCTCCTGGCGTGCTGCATTCCTGCCTCTTGAAGGCGGTTGTTAGGAAGGATCCACAAATACTGTAAGTAAACATCAAAGAGGCTTTGATCCTCCTGCCCTCGATATAGCAGGAGCCCCCGAAGAAAGAGCCAGGGCCTTGGATGAGGGAACTTAACACCATCAATTTGGGCGCCTGAGATGTGAGGCTGTTTGAAGTGAGGGCGGATTGGCCGCGCCTTCCGAGGAGGGACCGTGGAAGGAAAGGAAAAGAGGCGAGTGCCTTTGGATAAGGCACGCTCGGGTCTGCTTCTCTGGCTCTTTCCTGATAGTCAATAAACCCCTTTAAAGAATCAGGAGATCAAAGCCGGGGACCTCCCTGGGCCATGGCATTCAGCCACCGCCTGCCACGCTTTGTTTTTCCCGAGGGCAAGAACCGCCAAGCTTGACTCCTCTGTCTCTCCTGGGCCCTGGGCTCCCTTTCATCCTGCTGCTCTGCTGGGGGAGGGGGTGCTGGGCCACAGAGGTGGTTGGAGACATAGGGGAGAGGAGGAGCCCAGCCTGCCTCGGCTCCAGCCGCCTGCAAACACCCAGTGTTTTGGGAGAAGTGGTTGCACACGCTGCTCCGAGGGAGGTCCTTCTCTGAGAAACAGAGGGAGCGCCTGGGTACCCGGAGAGGCTGGCAAGGCCCCTGAGAAGGTGCAGTCACACTCCGCCTTCCAGAAATCATGCCCCTTATTCATTCCCCCCGTTCGTGGCGGCTGTCACATTTGTAGGACTTCTGAACAAAGAGGTGGGGGTGGCGAGTCTAAAAGAATCATGGGGCCCTAGCCAGTTTGGCTCAGTGGATAGAGTGTCAGCCTGTGGCGTGAAGGGTCCCAGGTTTGATTCCGGTCAAGGGCATGTGCCTGGGTTGCTGGCTTGATCCCAGTAGGGGGCGTGCAGGAGGCAGCCGATCAATGATTCTCTCTCATCATTGATGTTTCTATCTCTCTCTCCCTCTCTCTTCCTCTCTGAAATAAATAATATTATATATAATACTAAAAAATAATAAAATGAATAATGATATGTACCTCATAGGGTTGTGAAAATCAAATAAGGAATTTAACGGTTTACAATTATGCCTGGACCAGAGTGGGTGCAATGTAAAGGCTTGTGAAACAACTAAGTATATAAGAGCAGCAAGTGCCACATCCCCTGCAAAAGGGGTTCTCTGATCCCTGACCTGCTCCCGACTCACCCAGATCTGTTTCTCTTCCAGAGCTGGGCCTCCAGAAGAGAGGATGCTGTCTCGTGCTGGGCTACATGGCCAAGGACAAGTTTCGGAGAATGAATGAAGGTCAGTGAGAACCTGCCTACCCTCTCAGGAGTAATGTGGGGGGCGGAAACTATGCCCTACAGCTACAGGACCAAGAAAAGGAACCTGGGGCATCGAGAAAGGACAGCGGGCAGATCAGTTCAATTTCCACGAAGCTATTCATATAGTAACGTGGAGAGGAGCCGCTCATGCCTGAAACACAGTCTGCTGACGCTACAGCACTTTTCCTTATGGGCTATCTTTCCTCCTCCCTTTGTGTCCCCTCCTTCTCTTCCTCCGGCTTCCCTGCCTTTTATTCCCACCCACCCACCTGTTGCAATTAAATCTGCTTCTAT